GGATTATTTTAAATATAAGATAAAAATGTTTCAAGAAATTTTATAACTTAATGCTAATTACTTGAAAAACTTTGGGAAGTTATTTTATTATTCTTGAATTTGTTTTGTTATCAAGTTAAATATTAAATTACGTATCCAGCCTACAAATTTATTTTATTCTTACAAATTGTAAAATTGAATTTCAGGTGTAGATAATTGCTTTAGCTTATTAACCTTCCAACACGCGCGGATGCGCAAAATTTACGACAGATTCAGTTTTTAATGGACATTTTTCGCATATCGAAGCTGAGACGTCTGAAGGTCATTTTTATTCCTCAATTCTACCCTTCCCCACATCATAGAATGTGTCAAAAGGAAGTCATTTGAGGGCTTTTGTGCTACGTGGCAGCTTTTTGATAAAATTTACGACACGCGTGTGATCGTGTTTTAAAATTCGGAAAATATTTTGTAATTTTGTGTTATTAATTGCCGTGTATTATTTTAATTTTAATACATTTGGCTCTGTAAATTTTATGTCGGTTTTAATGGCAAAAAAATATGTTCAACCAGCTAATCTTCAAGAATTATCTGATGAAGACAAGGAAACCTTTAGATGCGAGAACAATAGTGATTTCCATTCCTTATTTTCTTTTATTTCTATTTTTTAAAAATAAATAAAAACATTAAAGTTAGATTAAAGTGCGTTTTTGTAACCAGTAAGAAGTAAATTTCCTTGCAAAATTAAGTAATGCTAAACTTACTTTTTTTCCTACCAAGGTGTTTTCCCATTTTATTGTCTATACTTGTCTTTGGTGATTATTAAAATTAGCTTCGATTTTAAAATATAATTATTAAATAATAAATTTAAAATTTTCTCTAATGAAATACATCATTGCATTTCCATCTCACTAACTTAAAAATAATTTACTTATATTTGAATGTATCTTGCAATAATAAGCTTTTCATAGTCACATTTTTCTCTTTTAGCAAAACTTACCTTACTGATATCAAGTCTTAAGGAGTGTTCACATAATAACTTAGCTGCCATAATCGTCCTAGCCTCGGTGTCATGAGGCATATATGTCATTAGCTTCATTTTCCCTGCGGCACAGGGTCTAATACGATTGCAACAGTAGACACAAAAAGTGCGATAAAATTTTATATCTTAACAAATTTATTATCAATATTCCCTCATTTCTGTCATTTTTCAAGCCAAATACGGTAAAATGAAGGATGTTGTAAAAAATACGATGTACACGTGCTCATGTGAAATTGCATACCGCGCATCCTGGAAGATTAAGTTTCTATTTGCTTTTTGATAGGTCCTTAATTTTTACTTCCTTGTACGAAGTAAAAAGGAAGTATTGTAATCGCGAAAAGTTTCAGGTCGCATATTTCAACAAAAATATCCATTTTGACCTCTATCGAATGCAATCTGATGATGTTTTTGCATGAAATCTGTATGTAAGGACAGAATAAAAGACTATTTTCCTCCAAAAAAATTATAAAACTGCTTTAAAATGAATTCTGAAGAGAATTTGTCGTAGCGCCTGTAAGAACGTATACATGTACGTACGTACGTATCTCGCATAACTCAAAAACGAGTAGCCTCAGAATGTTGAAATTTTGTATATAGAACTGCTATACCATGTAGATGTGCACCTCGTATTTTGGTTGCAATCGGCTGCACCAAACGTATATAACTATATTTATACATATATATTCCAGTCTGTTACCCGGCTTAGTGATCTCAGTTTCTTTACTCTTATATGTTTGTAAATTATACATTTTTTGCTTTCAAAATGATTGAATTATGTTGTTCTTATCTTCCGGTTAAGGTTTTTATGCCTTTAGTAAATCTGTATGCAATATTTTTAGAATTATCAACAATTTTAAAGTTGTTTAAGTGCCGCTAAGCCTAATAATTTTTCTGATGGCGGCCATTGATTGTTTACATTTGAAACAGTAGGATAGCGGATTTGTTGCCAATTTAGAGAAACTTAGCTTCGCAACAACAAAGATAACGCCTTCATTTATTATTGCGAATTAAATCATGCTTAATCCTTTCTGGAATTTTTTTCGAGGAAATAAGTGTTTAAGATTTACTTCGTAATTTTTAATACAGATATTTTGAGTTTTTATGTATTTTTGCCTTGTCGCGAAGTGAGAACTGAATTAATTGAATGAGAAATACTCAATCGTCTGTGAAAAACTGTTTCTTTTTTTTTATTATTTGCTTAGTTTCTTTTATACATCGTTCTAGCTTTATTATAGTATTTGAATAGAACATGTTTCATCGATTAGATAATTCTTTAAATGATATAAATTTTGTGCATTCTGAGTTATAATATGAACGAAATATAATACTGTTAAGTCAATCTAGCGCCAGAGTGTCGCTATGGTAAGCAAATAGAGTGAATTTTAAAGAATGCATTTATTCTATTGTGGTTTATGTGGTGTCATTGAAGTAGGTTTAATTCAATCTAATAAGTTTAAATGAAATGCAAGAAAAAATGCATATAATTTAATATTCCATACAAGGAAGTCATGTGGTGTACACATCAGATTTTTTCCTTTGATGGTTCTTATAAAAGTATTTAATTTCCAATGCAGAAGTATGTAAGAACCCTGAATACAATATGAAATTTTCTCATTTTAATACTGTAGTTCATTTGAAGTGGGTAAAAAAATTAGATTTTATAGAAATTCCAATAATACTTATACTTTTATATTTATTAAGATCATATTTTTCATATTGCTATAAATCTTTTATTGGAATAGTCTTGCTTCTGTTTCTCTGATTGAATTTTTTACATTATTTATTGTTTCATAGGTGCATTTTTCTGTTAAATTGCATTGTGTGTTTGCAAGGTTTTTTACTCACTTGGAAAATCTTGGAAGCTTGGGAAAATCTATAAAAATGTAAACATTTTTTTTAAATGTCAGGAAAAGACCTGGAACTTTTTTCAAAAATTTAGAAAAATCTGCAGTTTTTCTTCCAGTATTTTACTCAATTTATATCTGAAACAAGTTTTTAAGCATATAACTCTCCTCTCCATCTGCCAGTGAGATATTATTCCTTCTTCTGATTAGAAATTTAACTGTTCTGTCATTTTTTTTAATAAATGTAACTCTTCAAAATTGAATAATAGAATTTATTCATATTTGAAGGGCAGTCAAAATTGTTCTGGGACAGATTAAACTATAAAATTTATTTATTTTTTAAGGAAGACTAACAGTCACTATTCTGTTGAGTTGTACGTCATAATAAATAGCTATATTAATTGAACGCTTTTGTGAAACAAGTGTAATTCTTAGTTGTTCAGTTTTATTTTGAACTATTGTCATAGTAATATTTATTATGAATAATTGTTATATATTACCTCAGCAAAATGAACAGTTATCTGCTGAGTTTTTTTCTTTTCTGTCTATGTAGGTTTTTTTTTTTTTTTTTTTTTTTTTTTTAGAAGTTCAGATTTCATCTGCAAGAGGAGAGTATGAACAAAAATCAAAGAAGTTTCTTTTAATCATAGTTTTGTATAGCAGATTAAATGTGCTATTAAAATTTGATGCATTTTTATATATTATATGAGTGCTTTTTAATTCTGTAATTACATATTAGTAGCTGAGCTCTAAGGTTTCAAGTGCCATCAAATGGGCTGGCTGCATACAAGTTTTTGTAATTCCCTCCATGTGTTATGTGAATACAAGACCAGCTCCCCTAAAAGTCCTCCATGAAGTTATGTGTGTCCCTTTATGCAGATAACTGTCGTGTGCTTTTGTATAATCCAAATAATCTAATTTAACCCAATCCTTTTACAGTGATATTGATTATGGTATTAAGTAAACTGTAAATTTAATGGACTACAAATGATTTACTAGTCTTTAAGTGTGAATAAGTGCTAAATCAATAACTTTATAATTCATCGGGGTTGTTATTCGTTGTCATAATGCTTCTGAGTATATTACATGATAATGCAGTATATTCAAAATCATTATGACAGTGAAGTATTGCTGTTGAATCATACTGTAATTTCAGATATTATGTATGTAATACCTAAAACCATAGACAAGTAAATGTTCATGTAATATGTATTTAATTTTGAGACTTTGTTATACATAAAAAGAGAATTTGAAACATAAACAACAGAGCAATAGTTCTTCAAGTTTTTTCAAGGATCTTGAAGTCTCAAAATATGTTTACCCCAAAATTAGATCCATTGTAAAGTTTATTAGAAAGCCAGTTTGATGGAATGGTTTCAAATAAAAAAAAAAAAAAAAAGTCCATACAGTTATTTATGAACAAAAGTTTCAGTTTTACAGAAAAATGTAAAAATCGAAACTTTAGTGAAAGGTGTTGGAATTTTTTTCTGACATGCATATTAAGCAAATAAGTTCTAATCTACCTGCTGATGCATATGATCTGTGTGTATTGTGCTTATTTTATTTTTGTTTATATCTGTTAAATGTGTAAAATTAGTTTTTGGAGTTAATTTTAGTCTGTTATAAGTAAATGATTTTTTTTTTTTTTTTTTTTTAAATATTTTAATTCTCCTCATTTCTGCCCCAGCCATTGTGTGTAAAAAGGATTAAATAATGATGTAAATTTGCATATTGATTATCTATGTACTTTTCCTGGCAAATTTTCTAAAGTACTGAAATTCTATCAGCTCATAATTTAATGTAAGAGGTGAAAAATGCATTTGAATTTTCTATAGATTTTTTAAAGTTGAAATTCCAGCAATTCCATTTTGAGATGGAAAATCTCAGATGAAATTCTTGATTAAAGCAGGAAAGCGTAATGATCACTTGCAGAATTCAGAAATGGAATTGTAAGGTTTTTAAATCTGTAATAAATTAATTAAGACTGTCGATTATGTACGTAGCTCTGTTGAAAATCATGCTTTTATATATTTTTGAGCAAACGGAAATTCTAATTTATTACTTAGAAATTCAGTTTATCTTTAGCATGAAGTATAAGTTTTATTTAATAATGTTTAATACATTTTTATGTATTACAGATATGCCTTGAATGCCTGAGTGTATTTCCTGATGATGAGAAGATAGCTGTTTTAACGATATATTTTCTAAAGACATTTTTGGTATGGTACTTTATTTTAAAGTGTAAATTACTATAATAAACTATGAAAATAATTAAATGTGCTGAAAGATGAAATATTATATAATGTGTTTTAAAAAGCAAATGAATATATTTCACATATATTAATTTGGTACTTGAACGAGTATTCAATCTCTGCTGATATACGGCCAACAATCTGTTGCTGCCTTTTGTTGATGAAATGTAATTTTGATATCAGCGGATAAATTAAACAGATGATTGTTATTATTTCTGATGAGTATTGTCTGGCAAATGAATTTAAAATCATGTGAAGCATATGTTTTTTTTTTTCCACAGCTTCTCTACCTCCATACAAACTTTGATAAATAAAAAGGCCACTGACATTTCAAGAACCATTTCTTGGTTCTAAGTGCAAGTAATTACTTTACATTACTTTTCTATTTTACATCTGCCATCACATCAAAATGCTTGCAATGTTTTGACAAAATGCATATACCTGGAAGTAATGAATTACTTCTGCAGCATTTTTCAGTAGATCTGGTAAACACAAGATGCAGTACAGTAGAAACTAATACAGTACAAAGTCCAAAATCTGGAGTCGTCAGGACTTCGGCGATTCCGGATTTGTGATTTTTTTTGGATATTAGATCATCAGTTTAAATCTAGTAAGATGGCATGTAGAAATTTTATAAAATTTAAAATATGAAATCGTGATTTATGAAATAATGAAGTATTTATCATCTAAAGGATATCAAAATTTACGAAAAAAAGCTTAATATTTATTTGTTTACCGTATTAAACATTTCTTTCAATGTAAGTTGTTTAAGTTGCTTTGTTTTTTGTGCAAATACTGTCTCTTTAATTCTGTAAACAGACATAATCTTTTGTTCAGTTATATTGTTGAAGTCCTGTAACTGCTGTGTCGAGAATTCCGACTAACCTGTCAATCGAAATTTTTTCGTTTTCGGAAACTTCTCTGTTACTTTTTTTACTATTGGTAGTGGTATTTTCTGGGTCTAGAACCATACTACAGATTTTGCCATTCATTAATTGATTGATGATTGAAAAGCACTGTCATCACAATGAAAAACTTCTTTTATATCATCTTCATTTTTTACCGCTTCTCCACATTTCTTTACAAAATCCGTTAATTGGAAAATTTCACCTTTGTTTTGCGATATCCGAAAGCCTTTAAAACTCGTGGCTTTCATCATCAGATTTAGCTATCTTTCACTGTACATCTTTGGCTATGCATATTCAGCTTGGGGGCTAATGACAAGTTGGTCCGTTAAATTTTATCTTGCTTCTATCGCGCACTGAGACAATTAAACCTGAATTGTATTAGTTTAGTTATTTATTATACTTATGTCTATTTCTTGCACATACTTATCAGAGTTTTGAATAAATAAATTCCCACCTATACTTAATCCTTATTTATTTGTTTACCTTATTAAACATTTCTTTCAATGTAAGTTGTGTAAGTTGCTTCGCTTTCTGTATTAAGAAACAAAGTATTAGCAATACTTTGTCTTTAATTCTCTAAAAAGACATAATCTCTTGTTTAGTTACATTGTTGAAGTCCTGTAACTGCTATTTCGAGAGTTCTGACTAACTTGTCAATCATTGTATTAGTTATTTATTATATTTATGTATTTCTTGCATATGCTTATAAATTAAATAAATTACCACCATATACCTTATTAAGGGCCGGCGCTAGATATCTTACCGCCAGATGCAGTCTCTGTGGGTCCTAAATTCTGCAGCTCAATGCCGTAGTGCTGGTTCTTGGTTTATGTGAATAACAAATCAGTTATTCTTAATTCAAATAGCCCTAAATGTAATCTTTGGGTCTATGAGTATCATCAACAAAATCTATTTTTAGCATATGGAAAGAAATTTTTGGTAAATTCTTCCTGGTCAACATTTTTTAGCGCATTTAACTTAAATCTGTAATCATCGCCAAGTGTAATGTCAACAGAAAAGGTTACCACATTCCTTTATTATTCAATTACTAACATAAAAAATTGTTTAGGCACCGCTACATAAGTCAATACTCAATTTATCAAGTTTCAATAAACATGCGGTGGTGAAAGGAAAGTATAATAAATAATGATTCGCCAGGTTGGCATCATATCAAGATGTATCTATGTGGAATGTTTCGGTTTGAGATGTGTGCCAAGTGGATACCTGCAACGGAGTCAAGTTACTGATTGTTAAAATTTATGTTAGAATGATTGTTTCTTCAATAACAAGGTATGTTATTTAATGTTGAAGTGAAATTAAGAATCAAGACTCTCCAGATGTTTTATTATGCATGGAGGGGGGAATCAAATGTTGTATGTGTAAAGCCTATAAGAAAAATGTTATTGGTGGTTTTGAGGTCCAGATTTTAGATCATTCCGAATAATGAACATCTGGATTTCGGACTTTGTACTGTATAAGATAAACAAAATTTGTCCCAAGAACTTTCCACAGGAAAAGGATTACTGAAAAAAAATTACAGATAAGCACTTCATGTAATTGCCTGAAGTCTGCATTGAAGTTTTTAAAAAAGAAGGCATCTTCTCTCTTATTTCATGCATTAAAAAAATATATAGCTTTCTAGAAAAGGCTGCAGTTATTTCTACGGTTTGTCCATAAGAAAGCAGAAGCATGGATTGTATTTTTGCCACTGTATCAGTGGGTACTAGCTAATACCCAAGTATCAGTAATTTACACTGTTCTTAAAGAACAATGAAATATGGTTACTAGGTTCCAAAAAGCAGGAGAAACAAAATGACTTAGTTTATGGCTATTTAAGAAATGCTGACTGTGTGTAAAACATCATTAAAAGATAGAACATTCGTCCCACTTTAAAGATTGCAAGAAGTAATTATTCAAGTAACAAGCATGATTTTCTCTTGAGAACTTGACAAATACTGTCTTTTCTATTTCAAATGGGAATTCAAGTGATTGTTTCTTGCTTGTCATAATCTTAGCTTTAAAATTTTACATACTATCTGATAATTATAAATAAGAAAATTTACCCAATGTTAATAGAAATTTTATATTTTGGCATGAAGATATATTTGCTATTTTAATACTCCTAATATGTAATAGCACTGTGTCAAATAGTTCTTACTTTGATTAGATAAATTCACTGACAACATCAAGTTTACAAAACTAAAGTAGTAACTGTTAAACTTTTTGTATTCGTAGTTTCTTCCATTTGTCCTAAATTTCCTTAAATACAGCTAAAGAAAATTGAAATTATCTTAATTTTATCTTAATACAATAGAGCCTCTATTATCTGAGGTAACTAAGATCATAACCGCATTGGATTATCAAGATTTCTGATAATGGAGCCTAAATTTGAAATCCTGTCTTTTTTTGGGGGGGGGACAAGGTTTTTCTGAAACTGTTTATTTGAAATTCTATAATAAGTGCACAAGTACTATTATTAACATTATAGCAAATTCCTCTATAGCAGATAAAATTTGTTTCCTGTAGTTAAGCAAATAATCTGTATAAAATTATTTGTTTACTTCATGACAAAAATAGTCATGGAAAAAGGACTGAAATAGACAAACTTAATCAAAATGTACACAAAATAAAAAAGTAGAAAAAAAATCAAATTTTCTAAATACATTTTTTGGGGAGGGAGAAATCCGTTATCCTTTTTTGTTGCAGTTTTATAACTATCAGAGGGAAACATCAGGACTTCAAACATTGAAGAAATCAAGGTTTCAGTTCCTTCGCCATGGCTAATTTTCATACTTTGTTTAATCATCATCTGTACCACTCTCATCACTAATGTTTTTATTGTTCTCCAGGTCTATGGCATGAATTATTTCTTAGTCTCTTCTTTCTTGTTTGCCATTTTCTATGTTTACCCATTTCAAAACTTCATTCAAAGCAATGTAGCAGCAGCTTATTCTTTTACCCTTTGAAACATGTTTTCAAATTCATTATCAAAAGCTTTTCAAAAGGTTGATAGATTGTTCTTTCTTCCACAAAATTCCTATCCTGAGCATACAAAAAAGTCGCTTATTTTATAGCAATATGTTTCAATGCAGATAGGAGAAATGAGGATCTTTCCTATCCCTTATAAAATCACTTCATAGGTTCAATTGCACCTCGATTCATTGGTTATATGATAGAGATGGCATTAGCTGGGTGGAAAATCACTAATATTTTCCATACATTAACCAGAGCCTGGATTTCTTACCTGGATGATATACAATTTGATTATCACTATGGCTTCTTCATGCAGGTTTAATAATTTTAAATAGGTAAAATGTTTCACACGTGCAACAAACTGTATGAAACCATATTTCAAATATCTTTTCACTTATCCGTGCAAACTTTTGATTTGCATCTGGCAGAGAATTTCCAGTAATGTTCAAGAATGCTGTGGATAATTTTCTGATTAAAAGCAGTGGTAGTTTATCACCTAAACCAGCATTACTGCGAAAGAAAAGTGAGATCCAATCCTTGCTTTTTATGTCTTTTCTTATATGTTTAGATTCGCATATGGCACAATAAGAAGATTATTAATAACTCCATCACTGATGAGTAAGGCCAAAAGATCAGTCACTAGAAAGGACATTCATGAGTATTACTTTCTCTGTACTCTTTTTAATGTTCCTACTTTTTCCTATGATTTCAATAAATGGGTTACCTGCTGGGTTTGCAGGAGCCCCTGTCAATAGAGGTTCTATTGTACTCTCATTTCTAGTTACATTCAAATCCCTTTAAAACAATTTACAGTTCCAGACAGTTTTGATCTTATGTAATCATGGTCACTGTATTGTCACAGTACTCTTCACATATCTGAAGATGAATAATTGAAGCTTTAATGTTTCTTATGGATGACTGAGAGTATTTCACAGCTGATGGGCTGCTCAGTAATGAACATTTGAACCTCACAGTATGAAACTTAAAAACTGATGTATGAATGCAAATGGCATCAGATTCTGTGCAAAAACTGCCAAAATTTTGCACATGCACCTATTCGTACAAAATTTCAAAAGATATTCACAGGCGGATCTCACTTAAAAAAATAAGCTACATATTTTGAATGTGCCTTCAAAATCACAGACATCTCATAAATGAAAAAATAATTTCCAATCTAGTATGTTGCTTTTATTCTTGATCCATAAGAACTTGAATCCAAAAATAAGTTTTTAATTTAAATAATTCTAGTACTGCATCATAAAATTTGATGAATGGCATACAGTAGCCACTGCTACATACTGCCATTAAGATACCATTTAGAATGCTTTAAATGCATTTTGTCCACAGTGCAAATTCTATTTTATTGCATAAGTAGGCACTACTTCGTGTAAGTGAACAGCTTGGGCATTTCATCAAGTGATAATAATCAGCCTTATCTAATCTTCATCATTTGCTGTGCAAATATCATGCCTTGTGAAACAATTGTCATTTAAAATGGTTGCAGTGAAGGAAATATAGGTTAACCTTGCTAATCAAACTGTCATATCACTTTTGATATAATGTAAAATTGTTGTGATTTGATAATAAAAAATTGTTAACGTAATCCCTATCTTTAATAACTTTTTATTAAAAATTATTTTTATTGCTATTCTGTTTGAAGAAACAGTATTTGATGAATATGAAAGCAATGATATATCTGTTTTATATAATAATCAACAAAAACAAGTTGTATTTTCCTCATTATTTAACTGTTGTTTGCAGAAAAACAGACTTAGTGTTAAATGCAAAATTGTCAAGTTTTTCTTAAAGTGGTTGAAAACCACTAGTCATATCAGGTCAAAACTGGCATAACAGGAACTGGCTATGGCTGAAATGTATAAAATAACTTGGAATATAGCAAGTAGTTGAGGAGAATAATTTTAGAACTAAATGAGTTTTACCACAGTATTTATCTAGAAGTTAGAAGCAGTTAATTCATCTGTTATGTTCAGCCTTATATTTTTCACAGAGTAATCCAGTGTAGCAGAAGAAGAATTCAGTGCTATTTCAAAATTCAAAGAATTTATTTACTGTGAATAAATGAAAAGGTGAAGACTATTGTCTTGCCCAAGGTATAGGCAGACATCGTTATCAGAATGCAAACAAGAGTTATGACATCTTCTTTTGTTTAATAAATCCTTATTAGAGAAATGCATGCTGAAACCACTTTCAGCAACAAAACTCTTCAGGAACATCGTGCTGTCTTTTCCAATAGCAATCAATATGCCCAAATGTTTTAAGTGAGCCATTATTGCACAACATGATATTATATGACTTGTGAGTTTCCCTGCTCCTTATATGAACATAAGGAAAATCAAAAACTAAAGCACTTTTCATTGGTGATGAGAATCTGTACTGAGAAGTGTAAATTGTAGTAGTGTAGTGTAGATTGTGTAGTTCTACAGAATTTTTTTTTTTTTTTTTTTTAAGTTAATGTGCAGATTCCATGTACTGGCTGGATCTCTTATATGTAAAAGGGGTGTAGTTATTTTATATACTCATTATATGCTGGGCTAAGAGATCATTTTCACATAAAATAGTAAATGTGCTTATATGTAAATTTCATTATTTGGCTTACAGCTGTTTCTTCCAGTGCCAATATGTGTATACGTCATTCCAGTTTTCTTTGAGTGAACCAGCTTTATATAATCTGCATTGCAAACACTCAACTATTTGGTGATTAGGCACTCGTCTGTTGAACTAATTCATGATACTGTTGTATCACTGGGCATTAGTTTATATGTTTCCATCAATTACCTCAGAGACAAGCATTTCTGCAGTAATTTAATGTTGAATTCTACTAATACAAAGTCGGTGTTTCAATTATCAAGTGCCAGTGCCTTCTAGAATCTTGTTATGATATTTTTGGATAAACATTCATGTACAAATATACGATTTCTGAAATGTGGAATCTATTTTTTTAGTTTGTGCCAAGAATTTTTAATTACTTTGTATAATATTTTATCCCTACTTCCATTTTGTTGTATATGGTAACCCTTAGAGTATGGGATATCCTGTAAGTGTTATATCCCATATGTCATATATATGTACATGTTATATCTGTATACCATGAGATATCAAATTCTAAGTCAACCAGAACAGCATGGCTAATATGCAGATTAGCCAAGACCAGCTGCTTTGATGTTGAATTTTCAGTTGAAACTCGTGAAAATATAGGTGTTTGTGACTAGATAGTATATGTAGAAGGGGGGCATTGTAAGTGAAAAGGCATTTAAAAAGTTGGTAGAAAAATGAGTGGGAGAGTGTTACATTCCATCTTGCTCCCTCCCCGAGATTGTTACATTCTATCGTGCCCCCTCCCCGAGATATTCTCAATTAAAACTAAAATTGAGCTAAATCAATAACTTTTATAAGCTTTGCTGTAATACGTATTATATTCATATGTTGTATGTACATACTTGTAAATATTTGAATTCTGTTTATTGCATTGTTGTATTATTTATTTAATAGTTTGTAATTTGTGGCCATATCTATTTCTTTATATGTGTATATGTTTCTAATATAGAATTGTTGATTTTGTTGATCTGCAAATGTCAGTGTTCAGAATGTAAAAATAGCTTAAGTGCAATGTGAAGCTTATTTCTGTTGTTTCTTTAAACCTCCATGAATGTGTTGAATGTATTTTTTAATGAAAATTAAGTCTGGATGCATTTTTATATTGAATTTTAATTGTTTTTATTTAAATTTGTTATCTTCAAGAAAACTGCTTTTATGTCATTCTTCTTTATATTAATATAACAATGTTCTTTTACAGCTCAGTAATTCAAAGTTGCCTGTCCATTGTGCCATTGCTGTTTTGAGACTTAACCATAAACTTTTGCACTCTTCTTGTATCCCTCGAAATGAAGACTTAGAATCAATAGTGTATGATTTGATGTATTCATGCCTCCTTTATCTAAGTATAATGACTCATCAAGTTCCAAAACAGGATTGGCACTTACATAACATCAATGAGTTAGAAGACAGTTTATATATCAACAGAGAATCAGTTTTTGAGCTACTTAAAGCAATGACAAATTCGCTAGAAGCTGAAGGTATTGTAAAATCATCTCTATAAATTTGCTTATGTGTATAATAGTATTTCCATTTGTGAATTTCCAAGTGAAATCTTTATATTAAAATCAATAATGCTGTTCAGTATACAGTCAAAAGTCGTTAATCCGGACTCGTCGGGACTTCGGCAATTCCAGATTATCGATTTTTCCGGATTATAGATCATCAGATTAAATCTGGTAAGATAGCATGCAGAAATTATAAAATTAAAAATATGAAACCGTAGTTTATGAATTAAAGAACTATTATGATCTAAAGGGTATCAAAATTTACAAAAAAAAAAAAAAAAAAAAAAAACTTAATATTTATTTGTTTACTTTATTAAACATTTAAGTTGTTTGTTTAAGTTGATTTGTTTTATGTGATAATACTTTCTCTTTAATTCTATAATGAAATTCTACAAACTTTCTGCGCGTCACAAACTTTTCATGCGTCAGGACGCATGCGCAGGAAGTTTGTAGATTTGAGGTCCGGATTATAGATCATTCCGTATTATGGGTGTCCGAATTAACAACTTTTGACTGTAGTCATTAGTGGTTCCAGCTGCCATATATAGTAAAAGCTTGACTATCTGGTAAGCTCAGTAAATACTGATATCTGGATTCTTGAAGATTCCTGATGGTTAAGCGCATAAAAAATGGAATTCACATCATAAAAGCTGAATTAGTGGAAAAACTTTCCACTCTAAAATAATAAAGACAGTCATTATATTTGTTACCAATTGAATATCAGAAACCTATGTTTAAAATTAAGATTTGGAGGCAGGGACACATTTCAAGCTTATAAAAGTTGGCATACTTTGTAGGTCTGATCCGATTATGAAATCCCTCTGAATATGGAAGCTGGCTGATTTATCACAGGCCATTCCAGCAGAGGTTTGACAGAATATGTCATTTTTACTTAGTCAGATAATGAAGAGATACAAAATCTGGATGTAGCATGTAAAAAAAAACTTATATTGCTTATCATAATTTTTAACATTATATCATCAGTGTTTATCTGTTTTCAGAGTTGTTTTTTGGGGGGGGAGGGGTGGACTAGTAACTTTGAAAATACTTCACTTCATGAAATCCCAAATATTTAATACTTTTTTCAAAATGGTGGGTGGGGGGAATAAGAACTTATACCATACTTTACAAAAGTTAAAGCAGCTTATCAAGAATTAATCAAATTTACATTAAACCAAAACAAACTTCTTAGTATTGTGACATTATTGGCACAAAATCGCCCTGTTTGTTGGCAATGTGTACCTACTTCCTCCCACCTGTAATATTGGTCTACCTTCTGCAAGTTTACTCTGAGCAACAGTAATTGTGGTGAAGAAGTTCCCCCCCCCCTTCTATTTGACATCCCTGATTTAAAATAGTTTCAAAGGTTATGATATTATGTCATCCTATTTTTCTTCCTTCTGTATAGATTTCTTTAAAATTGATTTTATTTTAATCAACCTCCTTTGCCTTCCCTCAAAGAAATTAAGCTTACTATAGAAGTGTTCTTCATAAGTGCTATATCCCTCTGCGTTATTTTCCAATCAAGTATAAGTCTCTGTAGTTAGTAAAACTGGCTGCTTGATAGTATGTATATAACTGTTATTAGGTATTTCATAATAATACTGTAAATCCCTTCTGTGATTTTAAAAGTCTATTTTGTCTTATCTTTTTTTATGTATAAATTGTTTTATTTTTTTAAATTACAGTCTTTTTTTAACTTTATATATCTATAGGTGTAACTGATGATGGACTTTCCTCTGTATTAAAGATTCTAAAATATTTAATAGCAAAAAAATTACTACTTCTTGAAGATGCAGGAGAAGTTATACCTTTAGTAAGAATGATACTGGTAAGAATGATATATTTTGGTTAATTTTTTTTTTATTGTCTTATGTGAAATACCTTTTCCAGGATTCAAACCCAGGCAGTTGACATCCCTTCCACCATGCCAAAAAGAAGCTGAGTATTTACCTACATGGTATTTGCTTTTAGTCAGTGTTTGCCTTGACAGCAATATATAAAGGAAGTTATATATTCTTACTGTCACTACAAACTAATTATAATTCTTTGATTAGTTAATTTCAGGAGTTATAATCTATAACTCTATAAAATTTGAGAGTTAGTTACCTGTCAGTTCTCCAAATCTTCCCTAAGTACATAAAATTTTGACAGTTCATAAATCTCGAGACTAAGGGTTTTGCAGATTAGTGAATCTTGTGGGTGGTCATGTCTTTTTGACTTTCGCTTGCATTTTTTCTTTCTAATTATTACATTAAACCTTGATTGTGTACATATTAATAACCGACTGACACACTTTCATATCTTAAGAATTATTTAGTCAAAAATGAATGCAGAGCTATTGTATTCAAAAATATAAAAAATAATTTCAGTGCAAGAGGAAAACATATTTAAGCTATGTGGATTCTTTGAAAAAGTAGACTTCTGTGTGGAAAAGCACAGAAGAAATTTTTGTCAAAAAATTGTGTTCACATACTTTATAGAAATTTTTATACTATTAAATAAAAGGATAAATAAACTAACTGTTTACTAAAACCTACAAGAACAAGAATTTTTTTAAATGCTAAATTTGCTGTTATGCTCTTGGGCATGTGGTAGAATTGATGAAATTTGAATTCATTAAAAGAAAATTTCTCTATTTAACTTCCTCCTTTTTTCTTGTCATGCTTTCTTTGTAGCATCGGAAAAATCTATCCTTCCTCCCCCCAGGAATTTATTCTTTTTTTATTAGCATTGTAAACATATCAGCTATGAAGTGCAAGTTATAGAATTAACATCTGAAAAGTCTGATCAAATTTTAACTGTATAGTTCAGAATTAACGTTAAAAGATGGTGGAATATAGAAATTTAGTGAAGAAAATCATAAATAGCTTTGATAATAATATTTATTTTATTCTTCAATCAAAATATATTATAAATGTAATGTGTTTTTGTTCAAAAGTTCAGTTGTTAATACAAATCTGGTGGGAGAGAAAAGTCATTAAATTTGCTATTTATAATTTTCTGAGAATCAAAGTATTATTTGCATTTAGAAAACTGAATACTGATTCTAAGCATTCCCAAACTAAGAAGTTGTAGAATGTCAGAATAACTTATAAAATGAAATATAAAAGTTATTTTACTGTACTGTATATTAATGTAAAATATTTCTGGGTAAGAAATACATTTTGGATTTTCTTTCTTCTTCTTCTTTTTTTTTTTTTTTTTTTCTCTTAATTTTTCTTATAGAAGTTTTTATTGTTCTAACTTTTAACTTTTCTATTAAATTGGTGTTTCCCTTTTAATGATGCATAAATAGACATTGTAAATTAAAAATTAGAGGCAGTAGTTTTACCCTCTAGTTTTTAATTCACAAAGTAGTTATTAAAAATTATCATTATCTAATTTTGCTTTTTATAATCATAGGAAGTGTCCAGCGAAAATATTGAAAAGGAACCTCTATGGAGAGATATCTGTACATTCTTTCGATTCATCTAATAATTTTTACTTCATTATGTACAAATAAATTTTTTGATGGACTTCATCATATTTTATACTATAATTTGTAAAGAAATGTTGAATTGCATTTGTACTGTACTTTTTTAGTATCAAACCTGCATGTGTTTCATGTATTCCCTAAAACTGCTATTAAAATGCTGTTGGAAATTATCTGTAACTCTGAATAGCTTTTCAATTGGTCACTCTGAAGCAGGCATTTTGATTCATAAAAAGAAGAGTTCCTCAAAGACATGAGGAAAAAAGCTTTTTGGTATTAAACCAAACTATATGAGTAATTCCCCCCCCCAAAAAAAAAATTCAGGAAAGTTTAGCTGCTTATAACTTGATACCCACCAAAATTGCTATGAAGGATCATCACTGAAATTATATCATAGCAGAAAACAATGTAGGGACAAAACATCATAGTTTTAAAACATCTTGGTAAAGGTAAAGCTATAAATAATTGTATTACAGCAAAATATCCCAAATATGCATTTTATGGCTCTCACACACCTACACTTACTTTTTAATGTGATAAGTAAGAATTTCATGGGCAATTCTAAATTTTCCATTTTTCTTCTTTTGGCTTGTATATTGTTTTGCTTTGTATTGCAAATGCTTTTATGCATAATATTTATACTCTTGAGCAGTAGTAAGATGGCTTTATGGGTAATTGCAGAGCTACTTATTGTTGCATGTGTTATAAATTACTGTGGTCTTCTTAAAAAATTTGAAAATTAATACAAAGTTTAGATAATTATAGAATATTTTAATACTTACTGTATTAGTATGATTTCCTTATATACAATATTTGTAATTCTTGCTGTGTTATTGCGATATACTGTTACAAATACTTTGAGTATATGCAAACATAAACATTAGTTATTTGCAAAGATGTGCTGTTTGCTTGGGAAGCATGTAAAAAAATTAGAGGGGCACTAAACTGATAGATAATAATTGTAATAAAAGTACATTTACCCCTTCTAGGTCAGTGTTGCATCTCGCACATTCGACATTTTCGTGCCTGTAAGGTCGGCATCGCATGCCATGCGTTGAAGTGAAAAATTCCATTATTGAAACTGAATTTGTTGCTTTAAACTCCGCGATTATTTTTGTATTTCTGAAAATTGCTAAGAGATAGCTCGACTAGTCCTAGTTTCTTCACAATTTTTGCAGTCCTCTTTAAATATCTATGTGATATCTGTTAGAATTTCAACAAAAAAAAATCAAGATATTTTTTATATTCATAGCCAATTTTTTTGATAAAGCAGTTATTATTTTTTTGATTAAATAAATGATTTTGGTTTTGTGATAAATGTGGTTTTTATGCTGTGATGTTCAAGGCAGGCTGTAAAGCTGTTTTAATGGTAAGGTTGGAAAACCATTTTCTAAAGCAATTTTTACAGAATTGTAATAATTATTTTTATGTAGATATTTATATTAAACACATCAAAACGATCAAGTTAATAAATGTAGTATCACATTTTTTTAAATTTAAAACTTGGGTGCATTGCAGGGAAAACTGGTGATCAGTGGACAGGATATAACATATTTGATAACCTGTAGGTCTATAAAAAAAACTTCTCACTGTCAAAAATACTTTGCATTTTTGAATTCGATAGAACATATATTGATTTTCAGCAATTAAAAAAATGCCTTTTTTGGGTCAGAAATTAAAAAAAAAAAAAAAAAAAAGATAGACTAAGAAAGGGGTTAATCTGATGGGAAAACATTTAGAGAGTACAGTTTTAAGCATTAAAATTTATCAAAATACAGAGGGTTGGACAAAAATATGGAAACACCTTTAAAAAAACATGTTTTTTTGCTTAATATGGTGTAGGAAACCCGTTGGCATCCAAAACAGCTTGCAGTCTTCTCGGAATGGATAAATACAGTTCCTGTGTGTTTGCCAAAGGAATATTATACCATTCTTCCTGCAAAATGGTGGCAAGTTCAGATAACAATGTTGGCGGTGGATAACGAGAACGCACTTTCCGTTCCAATGTAGACCACAAAGGTTCGATAATATTCAGGTCTGGTGACTGTGGTGGCCAGGGGAGATGGGACAACTCATCCTCGTGCTCAGAAAACCAGTCCTGGACAATGTGAGCTGTGTGAACAGGGGCTTTGTCATCTTGGAAGACACCATCACCATCTGGGAACAAAGTTTGTACCATGGGATGAACTTGATCGGCCAAAATGTTCACGAAAGTCTTGGCAGTCATGTGCCCCGACACAGTTATCATGGGGCTAGCAGAGAACCACGATATGGCTACCCAAACCATAACAGAACCCCCACCATGTTTCACTCTTGGCAACAAGCAGTCTGTATTATAGGCTTGAGATGGCGTTCTCCAGACGTAAACTCGGCCAGAAGTGGGAAACAATGTGAAAGAAGACTCGTCAGACCATATTACTCGCTTCCACTGCTCTATAGTCCAGGCTTTATGACTTAAACACCACCTTTTCCTGTTACGGGCATTAGCATCACTGATGAGTGGTTTCTCAATTGAAGCACGGCCAGCAATTCCCTGTTTATGAAGCTCCCTTCTAATTGTTTTGGTACTCACAGGGTTCGGTAACACAACATTCATTTCAGCAGTAACTTTTGCAGCTGTTGTCTTCTTATTTTTCGTCACAATTGCCCTTAATGATCGTCTGTCACGATCACTCAGGACACATTTTCGTCTGCGCTGTGATTTAGCAGATGATGTTTTTCCGCTTTTCAAATATGTGGAATAAATCTTCAATACAGTACCTCTTGAAACACTAAACACCTCAGCTACCTTGCTTACTGAAGCACCTACCATACGTGCTCCAACAATTTGCCCACGTTCGAAGTCTGTTAACTCTGACATAGTGCAATGACAACCTCACATAACAGTACAACTGAACTGTTTAGCACATTTACGAAGTTGTATAGGTGACGTCAGTAGTCAAAAATGCCAGCGCCACCTACATATTTCATTAAAATCAATCTTTCTTTTCAAACATGCATTTCACAAGGTGTTTCCATATTTTTGTCCATCCACTGTATCTCTTGTTAACATTTCTTTCCAGAGAAGTGTTAAAATTTATAAAAGCAAGACTTATATGTAGCAATAGGTTTATTTATATTTATATTAGATTCTTTGTTAAGTATTATTGTGCAGAAACTTTAGGAATTAATGAAATAAACATGAGTCATTTCTCGAGCTGTGATGTGTTGATAGTTATGCAATGATGAATGCAAAAAATAATAATGATTTGCCAGACTGGCATCCAGCATATAAATTATTCAGTAGGAATAAAATAATCATTGTTTCAACGTAAAATGTTTCAGTTTGAGATCTGCATCAAAATATATAATGGGCATACATAAAACATAATTTTTTTTTTTCTTTTGTAAAGTAGTCACTTTAAAGCAACTAATTTGTCAAAACCTTTTACAAATTATGATTATGTGAAGTATACGCTCGAAAAGCTTAAGGTGAATATTTTGTTTTAGGGTAAATTACTGGATTTTATTGTTTAGTAAATTAAATAAATTATTAAATAATGATTAACAAATTCTTCTTTATTAGAAATGTAAAAGTAATTAAGATGCTGGATTATCCAGAAAGTTCTGTGTTTTTTTTATATGAAAGCATATTTCCCATGTATTGTATAAACTTCACGCAGCATCTGAAATACTACAAGTGACACCTTAATCACCAGTCTGTGATTAAGTTGCCAGTATGGTAGCAGCGTTGAGTGACTGCTTTAGAGACGATTTCAGCCAGTCGGTAATAAAATCCCTAATGTCTGGTGTGATATAGTAGCTGATATCAAGGATAACCTTGACAGGGTTCTGGTCAGAGGGTAAATCATCTCTAACAGAAATATCCAGTAAGCCACTGTCATTTTTTAACAGGGAGAAATGAATAATTCTCACTGAATTAGCACTATATCGTATAGGAGTTTTTGGAGCTACTATTCCGAATCTGGGCGAAGTGGGCATCCAGTGTAATTAGAGTTATAAAAGATTCATGCATGCAATTTAAGTCACCACTTACAATGAATCCCCTAATTAATTCTCGATTAATTTTAAGTTGCTATTTTTCAGTTAATTTTTCATATCAGTTATAAGGTGTTTTCTTAGGTTTGAATTCTTAACATTGTACTAATTATTTTAGTGTTTATTGCAATTATAATTTATTTTTTATTCATTGTTTCTTGTTTCACTTTATTTGTTAATACCTATCAATCAATTTTTATCTCGTTGGATGTTAATTACTAATACAAACTATGTTTCTTTTAGTGTTAAATTTGTTTGTGTAGTTATTTCAGTTACTGGTGTTACTTCAATTTTTAGTGTTACTTCTGTACAGTTTTAACAAGCCCTAGAAGCAGTCAATATTTTTATTTTGTTTTAAATTTTACATTTTAATGTGTACATTGCACAAAAAAAAGGGGGCACAGTTCTATATCTCACGTTTTACTGGGCGGATTGACAAAATTCAAATTGCGTTTCTCATATCTCGAAAGCGTGAATTAGGATATTATATATATATATATATTAGATTTATATATGGCATTGTTCTAACATAGGTATTTTGACACAAAATCTGACTTTTTCAGAAATAACATAATTTTTTTTCCATATTTCGATTCTACGACTCAAATTGTGCCTAGATATTAAATTTTGTAAAATTTGGTGCAAAATTTACAGCAATTTGGCCAAGAATAATTCACTTCGCGAACTTCTTAATATTATGGCAACCAATTTTTTTTTCCCTTCCATTATGCCGGAATGGAAAGAAAGGCACCTCATTCCTACCTTTTTACATTGTGTATGAGCGGGGGAAGTCACAACGTTTCTACTTCCAAATAATTTTAGCAAAGTGTTTAACCTTCCAGCACGTGCACGTCATATTTTTTATGACATCCGTTATTTTACCGTTTTTGGCACGAAAAATGACAGAAATGAGTGAATATTGATAATAAATTTGTTAAGAAATAAAATATTATTGCAATTTATTATTATTGCAAAATACAAGTGATATTACATTCAAATATAAACTAAATTATTTTTTAAGTTCTGAAGTTACTGAGATGGAAATGCAATGATGTATTTCATTATAGAAAATTTTAAATTTAATAATTATATTTTAAAAATCAAAGCTAATTTTAATATTTATCAAAGGCAAGTATAGACAA